TGTGTGTGCGTGTGTGTGGCCAGCTCAGCCCACCAGGGGGCGGGGCTGGCTGGCATGTGGTGCTGGGGGATTGAACCGCGGTCCCTGTTCTTTGCTAAGCTTGTTCTAAGTAGGTGCTTTAGACCACTGAGCCATCTCACCAGCCCCATATCGTGGCAATTATTATAAAGGAAGGAAACCAGGCAAACTTCAGAGTTTTCCTAATTGGCAATTATTTTGAAGGAAGGAAACTAGGCTAACTTCAGAGTTTTTCTAGAATGAACTATCTTGTTAAGGGTTCACTCTGCTTGGAAGGCACTCTTATTTTTGTCTTTTTTTATTACTTGACTGATAAAGTGATTGAGGCACCGTGCTGCTGACGTTGACCCTGAATTCCTGAGTTCAAGCAGCCCTTCTGCCTCATCCTATAGGGGTACACTGCACGCCTAGGAAGATTCTAGAGCCAGGTTTCTTTTCTTTTTTGCGGAACCAGGGATTGAACTCAGGCCCTTGCGCATGCCAGGGAAGCGCTTATTCAACTGAGCCATCTCCCCGGCCCCAAAGCCAGGTTTCCTGCAGCGTGGCCCCTTTGAGGCTGAATTCAGATGCTTCTACCTCAGAGATACCCCTCCCCCACTCTCCACCCAGTGTACATTATCCCCCAAATTTGCCCCTCACAGTGTAACCACCTTGCAGGTAATCAGCTCTCAATAAATACTGAATGTTAAGGACTGTCTTTTGTGTAATGCTCACGGGGGTGGCAGCAACGATTAGCCAAGATACATGTAGTTTTTTTTTTTTAATTTTATTTATTTATTTGTGTGTGTGTGTGTGTGTGTGTGGCCAGCGCAGCCCACCAAGGGGCGGAGGCTGGCTGGCATGTGGTGCTGGGGGATTGAACCACGGTCCCTGGGCTTTGGTAAGCTTGTTCTAAGTAGGTGCTTTAGACCACTGAGCCATTTCACCAGCCCCAAGATCCATGTAGTTTTTAACTTAAAATTTCTATTTGACAGTCTTTAATATGGTGCTTATTATGTGCCAAGCACTACTCTGTGAATGATAAAAATAACCCTGTTAGGTAGTTACTATTATTATGTACTTGCTATTGTTATCCTCATTCTGTAGATGGGAGGTTGAGGTACAGAGAGGTTAAAAAAACTTCTCAAAGGTCACAGAGATAATATAAGTAGTGGAGCTGCAACTTGAACCTTGGGTTTGATGAAGTATTATACTATGCTGTCTTTTTCTTGGTGTCTGCCACTGATTGCTTAATTGCATACCATTTATTTGAATGTGGACTGTGGCATCTTACTGTACCTTGGCCTTTGTTTTTTGGACACAGTGGGAGTCTGTACCCTGTCTCAACTATTTCATGTTCTATTTTCATATTAGTGAAAGCTGTCTGAAGCAGGGGTCCCTTTTCTGTTTGTGTTAAAATTAACTTTCTAGACATCATTTTCATTGAACAACTAGGTTTTAAAAATAAAAATAATTATAAAGAATGTTTTTAAAAATTATTTATTTCTTTTTTACATTTATTTAGTGTGTGTGTGTGTGTGTGTGTGTGTGTGTGTGTGTATGTGGTCAGCTCAGCCCACCAGGGGGCGGGGCTGGCTGGCATGTGGTGCTGGGGGATCGTACCATGGTCCCTGTGCTTTGCTTAGCTTAGCTTGTTCTAAGTAGGTGCTTTAGACCACTGAGCCATCTCTCCAGCCCCTAAAGAATGTTAATAACATGGATGCCAGGGATAGCTTTGTTGCGTCATCAGGGTATGATTTGTTTTACTTGTGCTTGGTTTGCATGAGTTGGAGATGTTTTGTTTTGTTTTGTTTTGTTTTTTGGTGGAACCAGGGCTTGAACTCAGATCCTTGCATTTGCCAGTCAAGCGCTTATCCTACTGATCCATCTCCCTGGCCCCTTGGGTTGGAGTTTTGTGCGTATATTAAGTTTGCTTTTTGGAGAATGCTCTTGTCTTAAATCTGCTCCTAATCACTGTGTTTTCTGCCTTCTAGTGAGTTTTGAAGGATGCACAGGTCGACCAAGAACAGTCTACTACTCTGCCGACTCCCGATTCAAAGTGGGTACAGATGGTGTAGTTACAGTGAAACGGCCTCTACAGCTTCATAAACCAGAGACCAGTTTCTCTGTCCATGCCTGGGACGCTGCCTTCAGAAAGTTTTCCACCAAAGTTACACTGAAGGCAGAGGGACCCCGTCATCAGCACCACAACCACCACCGCCAGGACCATGACCAGGTAGGTGGCTCACCATTGTTTCAGGCTGTAGCTAATTCAGATTGCTCTGCCATGGTCCCATTGGTGTTTGGGGCTGGACAATTTTGGGTGGAGGCTATGCTGTGTACTATTTATAGGCTATTGAGCAGCATCCCTGGCTTTAACTCAGTAGACACCAGGAACACCTCTAGAGTTGTGACAACCAAAAATACCTCCAGATACTGACAGTGCTTTCTGGGCAAGTTGCAAGATCATCCCTAGGAGAGGACGGTTGGTCTAACTGAACTATCTCTTTTTGGGCTGGGTGA